TAGATTCACATGCAGTTGTAAGAAATAATAGACTCTTTGTACTATTTACCAAGTTTCCTCCAATGGTAACATCTACAAACTAGACTAGACATTAATAAAATCTGATCTTATTCAGATTTCCCCAGTTATACTTGTACTCATTGATAATTAGGGAAGCAAAGATGAAAGAGAAGACAGCAAAAATGGGGAGGGGAAGGAAAAAGAGAAGACCTCATGTTGATTAAGGTCAGCCTTTTGGTAGAAAATACGGAAAAGTCGGGCAATTGTCAGGTTAAATTTTCGATCTTCCCCCTGGCTGAAAGGGACCAATTAGAGGGGTAGATAGAACTCATGAAGTGATCTGGGCTGGCTTTGCTCTGTTTTAGAAGAATCCTTATAGTGCTTACTGTCAGTCTGTGTGAACAGGTCTTTTTTGGAGTCTGAATTTATTTTTTTAAAAAAAATTGCTTATCTCTAAATCTTTAATAGCTGATTGATTTTTGTTTTTGTTTATCCTTTTTTAAAAAAAATTGCTTATCTCTAAATCTTTAATAGCTGATTGATTTTTGTTTTTGTTTATCCTTATATACAGCTGTAACTAATTAAAAAGCCTAATGGTTATAAACCTATGCAGCATAATTTCATATTTCCTAATTATGTTTCTTCCTTGTCCAACAAGATACATTAATATTAATTTGTGCACACACACACAAACACACACACACTCTCTTTACCATTAACTACATTACGTGGGAGAGTAAAAAAAACTTTTGGTTTTCCCTTAAGAGACCACAAGCTAATTTCAAAGTTAATGAATTTCCAAGTAATGGAGATAGAAACAAGTAATATCTGTCAAAAAAATTAAACTTCTAAAGAATATTATAAAGTCAAGCATGTAATCATAAGCAATAACCTGAAAGCATGTCATATTACACTCTGGCTCATTATATTTATTTACCTAGCTTATTAATGATTTCCAGTGACAGTGCCTTGTAACTGAAACTATTATTATAGCTATTTGTATATTTTAGACACATTTAGGAGGAGGTATTTTTTAAAACACTCTGCAAACTACATTAGGCTTTGTGTTAAGTTATATTAAAAATATTCTGAAAGGTTTGGGGTGTTTTGTTTGGTTTGTCGTTTCTGTCCTCTCCATAAAAAAGATAGTATAAAATTTTTTTAATTAGAAAGTAGATTGTTTCAGCTAATGCTTTTTCTACTTCCCTGTGGCACCTACTGAATTCACTTGCTGCTTGAGATAAAAATGTATAACTATGACTAATAAAAATATTAAGAACAACATTATTTGAGTATCGAATGGTAGATGGCAATAGGAAAGCTGGGATAGAAAATAATTAAGGGTCCATGCTTCACTGTCAAATCTTCATCTGGATGTCTCTTAAAAATGAAATTATTGTGCAGCCAACAACTGACCTCCAGGTTCATCCATGTTGTTATAAATGACAGAATTTCTTTCTTTTTAATGATTAAATAGTATTCCATTGTGCATATATATATGTACACACACACCAGAGTTTCTTTATCCATTCATTCATTTATTCCATTTATCCACACTAGGTTGATTCCATATCTGGGCTATTGTGAAGGAGATGAAATGGAATAATGACCTAAATAAAAAATAAAATAAGTCTTCTACCTATATTGTAAAGGCCCATCTGAAATACCACTTCCTCCCAGCCTTCTGCAATGAAAAACTTGAATAATGTTCTATCACTCACTGGTTGTCTCTTAGTATCCAACTTATTTCACTCTGTATTATAGATAACTATGACTTATTCTCTAAGCAAATTGTGGGAAAAAATTCTTATTTGCCATAGGACTCAAATATCTGTTTAGGTTATTAAACAATTAAAAAACTGCAGTGGAATTATAAGCTGTAAAAAAAAAAAAGCTCAGTGTATCATCCACCTCTTCCCTCAATGTCGTCTAAGGTGAATTTGGAAGCAAAATATTAACTGAACTCTGTGAATTAAAGGCTTGAGACAAATTTCTCATTTCTCATACATTTTAATATGTTAAGATCTATTCTTCTTTAAGTATTTGTTGAGAAAAAGCAGAATTCAGTTTATATTTTTATTTTGATATGGAATAACTGTCCATTTTAAGGAAAAAAGAACCCTCATGTTTCTCAGTAGTTCGTGACCTCCAAGGACAGGTGCCCATTTGGTTCTGGCATCTTCTCCAAGTTCCAAACACCTGATGAACACACAGTGGACTTTCAATAAACGTTCCCAACTACACAACCACACTGAACAACAGACATAAGTCAAATTTTACTTCTGGTCCGAAGAAATCTGAACAGACATAAATCCAAATGTTTCTTATGATCCAAAGAAATCTAAAAGTAATATGGTCAATAAGTAACAATAAAAGCCTCAGTTCAATCAATGTAACTTTGAGCATTTTTTGATATCGAATCTAGCAGTTTCTTTGTATTTTTATGAAGAGACTTGATAAAGGTTGGAAAGGGCATGGAGAAAGAGGGAACAGGATACTCAGAAACTATAAGATGATAACAAACAGTGGGAGGAAAGACAGAAAGGAAGAAAGGAAGAAAGAAGAAAAGAAAACAGTAAAACGCTGAACTTTCATTTCAATGTTAAGAAGGAGAGAACTATAGTTATTGGAGGCGGGAAAGGCGGAGGGGGGTAAGAAGTAATTGGGTAAGGGACACAAAGAGTAGTTACAATCTGTAATGATGCACGTGCTAATAATATTGATTTGATCATCATAGACTGTACACAGATACTGATAGTCAACTCTGTACCCCATAAATATGTATAATTAAAAATAATTTTTTAGAAAAAAAATTAAATAAAAGAGTGACAGAGGGAGGAAAAGAGGAAGAGCAGGAGGAGGGGAAGCAGGAGGGGGAAGGAGAAGGAACAGCACATAGAACAGTGAAATGTGGTGCAGGGTATGGGAACTCTCTGCACTTTCTCCTCAGTTTCTCTATAAAACCAAAACTACTATAAAATAAAAATGAAAAAAGAATAGTGAAATGAAACAAAGATGGTTTAAAGAAAACATTTTCTTGTTGAAATATGCAGTAAAAACCATTCCTACTAAAATGGAAAACTCATCTTGGGTAGGTGAGCGGCTGGGGTTTGTTATGAAAGGGAATCGATATTTCATTTGACAATTTCCATGCTTAACATCACTGTCATTTTCAGTGTTGTTTCACTGATATCTTCCCAAAGTAAATAGAGTAAACACATATTTATTCCCCGGAGGTTTAGAAACATGATCTCAATTGCACAACCGCAACAAATCATCCAGCAAATTCTTGTCAGAGGAAATCAAAGTACATGTTTACCCAAGGTGAATGGTAGCCATTGGACTGGACATTAACTACACGTGGTTTCAGACAGTTCCATCAAACATGCTCTAAACCTACCCAACAATTTACCCACAGTCGTGTAGGTTACCATAAGTGTACTACTAAAAGCTCCACTATGAAAATTTTCCTGTCAATTTTCATTTCCGACATAAGTTGATAAAAGCCCCATAAATCCTCTCTTGGAGAGACTCAATTATTTTCCACGCTAATACCACAAAACTGAAAAAAGACGTGTTAACACTGTGTAGCTTCAACGGAGTATACATATTTATCATGTCACAAACCTGCAGCTTTTATTTCTCATTCCCATTTGGAATCATACCTTCAGAAAAGGCACCATTTGCTCTATTAAAAAAAAAAAAGAAAAAAACCTAAAAAATACCTTCTATATACAGAAAACTGAAGCTACTTTTCTTCCTGTTTTTCTTCATAATGTACTTTAACGAGCTGCAATTAAAGTCAGTAAGATTTAGAATCGATAATACTATATTGCAATGCCTTCTTTCATTTTCCATAGTATATACATCTTTCTAAACCTGGCAGAGCTCTGTATAATTTAAAAATTACATAAAACCTAATAAAGCACTTGTCTTTCAACAGGTACATTTCCATAAACGAGCTGCAATTAAAGTCAGTAAGATTTAGAATCGATAATACTATATTGCAATGCCTTCTTTCATTTTCCATAGTATATACATTTTTAACGAGCTGCAATTAAAGTCAGCAAGATTTAGAATCGATAATACTATATTGCAATGCCTTCTTTCATTTTCCATAGTATATACATCTTTCTAAACCTGGCAGAGCTCTGTATAATTTAAAAATTACATAAAACCTAATAAAGCACTTGTCTTTCAACAGGTACATTTCCATATCTAGCATGATTCAAATGTGTCACCTTTCTTAGCAAATTCCTTCAAAGGAACTGATCCTAAAATAAACCTATATGTGTACTAAGTTTTAAAAAGTAGGCTAGAATCAAATAAAAACCTGTAAAGATCACATTCTCAACGTACACATCTTGCCCTACAACTTCTAAAATATTTGTATCCATTGTCAATCATTATTTTTTTTGATCTAATGCACATCTCATTTATAATGCTGTAGAATTATGAATTCCAAAGTTGATTTTGCTGTCTTCTTGAAAACAATCTGATGATGGATAAAAACATGCTGATTGTTACCAATAACAAAGCCAAGTGCAAATAATTCAAGCATTCTGCAATTACTCAGAATTTAATTCAATCTATTTCCAGAGACAATCTGAATGGCTCTGTGACTAGGGTCTGAACACAGTCAAAACTGCTTCCATTATACTTGGCAAATGCTTTTTTGTTTCCACAGTGAATACACCTTTGTGACCTTTCTCAAGTTCTGATAGTCTGCTTACAAATAAATCAAACAAAAACTGCCCACTTACTATTTGTATCACCAACCACTCCAAATCTACTTATCATCTCAGTATTATTGATTATGATATAAACATTTAAAAATTATTAATTTAAGGACACTTTGCAGTCTAAAGCATCAAGGACAAGGCCCAATAGAAACATCACCAATAAAACGAAAAGCTAAAAGCAAAATACTTAAGTAATCCTTAGCCTATTTTGGATTAAGAAGTAAGCAGTAAATATAAACATAAGCATATTTTAAAAACCAGTAGTTCAATGCTTACTTTCAGCAGATCCTTGGAGAAATCAACACCCTCATTTACTCCTTGGAGATTTGCAATGAACTCCTGGCAGGTCATCTTCTTCCCAATATTCTGGAATAGAGGCAAAGGATACATCACAATGACAATTACAGAATTAAGATTAATTCTTAAGTATGTGATTAAGCAGAGCAGGACCTGACTTTGTTTTTGAAAACATGAATTTATATATACATATATACATACACATGTGTATATATACATACATATATAATACAATTTTAATGCATAAGAACAGATGGATTATTATTACATTTTTAAAACTGTCATTAAATATAAATAGCAAAATTATACCGAACCCTTATTTTTTCATCTAGGAAAGAAATCTGAAAAATCTACGCTATGTTTTTATAATAATATATAATGTAGCTTTTAATAAAAAAAATGGATAAAAATGATATTTCTGAGCTAAACACTGATAGCTATTTACTTCTCCTACATATTGTCAAGAGCTGGGAAGGATCTGAGATTTACCCAACTTTCACACTAACAAATTAGCCTATCACAGTTTCATTGATGCTGACAAAGGAAATAAGACTCCACGTTGAGAGAGACAAGAATTTGTTACTCACGATGGTAAGAGTACTCAGAACATCAGTGTTAACTTGCTCCAGTTGAGTCCCAATTCTCAGAGAGCAACTTGAATAAGGCCAGATGCAACCTTTAAAGGCAGTGGGTTACACTGCAGGAGAGAAACCCTAAGCTTCAGGAACTGAATCTGTGATAATGGGCAGTTAAGTATGCCTACCCCTTGGCTCTAGAGGGAGACACCAGCTTTATCTTCCAAGGCGGCCATGAAACCTGACCATTGCTCTGAAAGTCACTATATCTTCCAAAGCTGCTCACTATAGAAATAATTTTGAAAAGATTACACAAGAACAAAGGCAACCAAAGCCTCTGTTCACAAAATGTACAGAAAAGTGAGACCCCCCTTGGAGAACTGTCTCCCAGCACATGTTCCCAAGCTGATTTAAGGATCATAAAGTTTAACCACAGAAAATCACATTAATAAACAAAATGTAATTAGAAAATCTAAACTTCAAAAAGAAAAGAAATAAACATGCTGACTAAAAACACTAATACAATTGTTGTCACAGAGAATCACCTTCTATGCCAGCTCCAATCAACTAGTAGAAGGTGCCGGTTGTGAAGGCTTCTGAGGTTCAGTATGGACACCAAGAGAAATCTGTCATGAGTGCAGGAGAGGGATGTAGAACACAGACAAGTGGCACAGACATGATGTCTCTGGCAAATGTGGTCCAAGGGAATATGAAGTGTACCAACATATTAATATACCTGTATGCAATATTCTTGCTAATAAATGTGTTCTTTCTAAGCCTACTGCAGTCATTCATTAAAGACTAAGAGTAGGGTACAGCAGCAGTATTCAAAATGAGACAGCATAGTCCTAGAGATAAAGACTTTAAAAGAATTCACAAAAGCACAGATCTGCTTAAGAACCTACCCCATGTGACTTAAGAGTAATTGCGTCCCACCTCCCCTTGCACAGCTGCCCTTCTCCTGTCCAAAGTGAAACAATTTGTTCCACCCATGCTATCTAAATATTTATAGTAAAAGTGCTAAATTTTTTTGTTAACCATCTTGCCTCTTCCACCAGCAAAGAGGTTGCGGTCAGACTTTATATGAAAGACTGGATGAATGCCAAAGTGAAACAATTTGTTCCACCCATGCTATCTAAATATTTATAGTAAAAGTGCTAAATTTTTTGTTAACCGTCTTGCCTCTTCCACCAGCAAAGAGGTTGCGGTCAGACTTTATATGAAAGACTGGATGAATGGTTTGACAATGAAAACTGGCTTTGCGAACTGACTTACTTGGTAAATATTTCCATAAATTAAACAAATTAAATCTGCAGTTTCAAAGTTTTGATGAAAATTTATTAAAAGCACAGAAAGGAACATCAACAAAAAAGACTGTTTTCTAACGGTATATTGAAAAAGACTAACTCAATTTTCCCAATCCATTTCAAGGATATCAGGTCAAACAAGGTGCCTCAAGGTAAAAAGTAACAAGTACAATCGATAGTCATTTTGATATGACTTGGCAAGGCCTTCTTGGACATGTTCCAAGGGTTTGAGAAGATGAATAAATAATGACAGATAACAAATTCTTTTCCAAGTCAGTTGGTTTCCAATTATTTGCTTTTAAGAAAATTAAGAGAGGACCCAATTTAATCATTAGTTAATCACCAGAAGTAGTGTTTGATATGTGATCTGGGAAACTGAAATACTTGTAACACTATCTTTTTTAATCAATTTTTTGTTATTAATAATTATTACATAGAAATCATTTAAGAAAAAAAATTACAGAAAAATTTTAACACTTGAAATCTTATAAGAAATAAAACTTTCATTTCAATTTATATAGTTTTTCATTGGAAATAAGAACTGAATAATGATTTAAAAAAAACTTCCAAGCAGAAAAACATACTACATAAGAAACTTTTATGTAAAAGTAGACTAAAAATAAAGAGAAAAGGAAATGAAATAAAATATCTCTTAAAAATGAGTGTGTTGATTTTGTTTTATGATGGAGTGCCAACTCACTATAACATTTTTAAAATACCAGATTTATTTAAATATAATTCATATAATATTCACCTTTCTGAACTATGCATTTCAGCGATTTTTAGTATATGGATAAAGGAGTGCAGCCATCACCACTATCTAAATCCAGAACATTCTCATAACCTCCCCCCCCAAAAAAAACAACACTCACTAGCAATCTCGCCCCAAATTTCTCCCACCATCCTTACCAGCCATCGCCTGGCAACCACTAATCTAATTTATGTGAATTTGCCTATTCAGGACATCTCATTAAATGGAATCATATAAAATGTGGCCTTTTATAGCTGGCTTCTTTTACTTAGCATAATGCTTTCAAGGTTTGTCCATGCTGTAACATGATGACAATATCTTTTTATTGCTAAATAACATTCTGTTGTATGGATATACCAAATTTTATCCATTTATAAACTGCTAGACATTCGGACTGCTTCAGCTTTTTGGCTATTATAAATAATGCTGTTATAAAAATTCACGTACAAGTTTCTGTGTGGACATGTTTTTATTCATCCTAGGTATATTATACTTAGGATTGGGATTGCTGGGTTCCATGGTAACTCTATGTTCATCCATTTGAGGAACAACCAGACTGTTTTTCAAACTGGCTGCACCATTTCACCTTCCTGCTAGCAGTGTATGAGGGTTCCAATTTCTCTGCAAACTCACCAACACTTATCTGTCCTTTCTTTTTTAGCCATCCTTATGGGTATAAACTGGTATCCTGTGGCTTTGAAGTACATTTATCTAATGACTAATGATGCTCAGCTCTTTTCATATGCTTATTAGCCATTTGCTTATTAAAATTCTATTCCTTTTTCTTATTGGAATATTTGTATTTTTATCATTCAGTCGTAAGAATTTTTTATGTATCCTGAATACATGTTTCTCAGATATGTACTTTGTAAATATTTTCTCCCATCCTGAGGGTGTCTTTTCTCTTTTCTTTCACTTTCCTGATGGTATCCTTTGAAACCCCAAAATGTTTCTAATTAGATGAAATCCAATTTATCTATGTTTTTCTTTTGTTACTTGTGCTTTTTATGTCACATCTAAGAAATCATTGCCTAATCCGACATCACAAATATTTACTCCTGTGCTTTCTAACACAGATATTTATAACATTTAGATATTTGATCCATTTTTAAGGTAATTCTTGTATATGAGATGAAGTGGAAATTCAGCTTCATTCTTTTACATCTGATATCCAGTTGTTACAGCACCATTTATTGAAAAGACTATTCTTTACCCTACCAAATTGTCTTGGGACCCTTGTTAAATATCAACTGACCATAAATGTAAGGGTTTCTTTTTAGATACTCCATTCTACTGCATTGATCTATATCTATCTAGTTTTATGCCAGTATAACTTCTCTTGATTACTGTAATTTTACAGTAAGATTTTTTTGTCTTTGAATTTTTTATGGTAAAAAATATAAAACATAAAATTTACCATCTAAACCATTTTAAGCATACAGTTCAGTAGTGTTTCATATTAGTATATTCATATTATTGTGAAACAGATTTCCAGAACTTTTTCATCTTGCAAAAATGAAACTCTATACCCATTAAACAACTTCCTCCCCCCCCCACACTGCAACCCCTTGTAACCACCATTCCACTTTCTGTTTATATGAATTTAACAACTTTACTTACCTCATATAAGCGGAATCACATACAAGGGTTCTTTAAAATAGTGCATGGAAAGACTCTATTATCTTTTAATTCTATTTTTCCATGAACTTTTTGAAGTATCCCCATAGTGTTTTTCTTTTTGTGACTGGCTTATTTCACTTAGCATAATGCCTTCAAGGTTCATCCATGTTGTAGCATGTGACAGAATTTCCTTCCTTTCTGAAGCTGAATAATATTCCATTAAATGCATATACCACATTTTGTTTATCCATTCACCTGTGGAAAGACATTTGGTCTGCTTCCACCTCTACGCTAGTGTTGGGTGTGCAAATATCTCTTTAAAACCCTGCTTCCAAATATTTTTTATATATGTCCAATATGGGATGGCTTGATCCTATGGTAATTCTATTTCTAATTTTTTGAGAACCCCCATACTGTTTTCCATAGTGGTTGCATCATTTTACAATCCTTCCAACAGTGCACAAGAGTTCCAATTTCTCCACTTCCTCACCAACAGTGTTTTCTGATAGTAGCCATCCTAATGGGTTAAGGTGGTATCTCACCATAATTTTGATTTGCATTTCTCTGATTAGTGAATGTTGAGCATGTTTTCATATTGGGGCCATTTGTGTATCATCTTTGGAGAAATGTCTACTCAAGTCCTTTGCTCCTTTTTTAATCAGGTTATTTGATGTTTTTATTGGTGACTATTGTAAATGTGTTTGCTTTCTTGATTTCTTTTTCTTCTACTTCATTACTGGAGTATAAAAACACTACTGATTTTGGGGTGCTGATTTTGTATTCTGTAACATTACTGAAATTGTTAACCAGCTCTAA